CCCCAAGCCAGGCTGCTGCCAGGATGGAATTTCTTTGAAGTCTTCTGTTTTATTCTAAAAAATTACAGATTCTATATTCTGCTCCAAAATATATCCATGTTTGTTTGAATATTGAAAATGTGTTACATACTTGGCATCTAAGAGAAACCGAAGCCCAATGTGTTTACATTGTAACTCTCTCTCCCGTTCTGTGTACCCTCGGGGTGATGTGCACCCCAACTTAAGATGCACACGCTCACCTGATCCCCAAGCCCCCCTCAGCTCTGGGTACCCACAGCCTTCTTAAAAACTTAACTTCGACGGTCCATTCCCTTGCATTTAGGCAACCTATGAGCCTAAACAAAAAGTTTTTGTTTTGTTTTTTTGTGTTCCTTAACCATTCTAACCTAGAATAACCCACTAGCTGGAGACTTCACTGCCAGCAACTCTTCCCACTTCTGCTGAAATATCCCCAGGAATAGCCCCTAAAATTACTCCCAGAAAATCTTTCCTCCTGGAAGAGGTGTGATTCCTCCTGAAACTATTTGTGAAAAAACAACGTTTTGACAGACATTCCCAGTATGATCATAAATTTCTAGCCTTTATTAGAGGATCACCTCTAATTAAGGTTGTAAATTTTATAATCATTACCAAATGTTTATGTATAAGCAAATATATTTTATATGCATAAATGTGACTAAGTTTATTATATATAATATGGTATATGTAGAAAATAAAAACTGTTGTATGTAATTAATAAAAATACATTAATTGTGTAAAATAAATGTGTTTTAAATAAATAAAACATAAACATATAACATAGATATGGAAGTGTTGTAAGTACATAATAAACAAAGTATATAAAGTTAATATTTGTTTATAAATATAAAGTTAAATACTTTCAAGATCACCATAATAAGGATACCAGCAAGCGTCTCTAGCCTCCAGGGTCCCGAGACCGGAGGTGGCCATGGGCTCCCAGGCAGCACTGCTGGTCTGTGCCCCAGAAGGAGGGGTGTCCAGACTGCAGGGACCTGAGAGACCCGGAGGGCGTTGTGTGGCAGGCACGTATTTTTCTAAGACGACCACCACAACTGATCCCACGTTCCTCTCACGGACGCGATGCTGACACTCCTCCCACCCCGTGCTGGGATGTCCCCTCCTCTTGAGCCTGGGGGGAACTCTGGGACCGTCTCCACCCATAAAGCACGGTGGAAACGGCCACCGAGACCAGGAGTCACTCACCTCCTCGTCATATGGCTAGTGTGCTGCCCCCGTGCTGGGAGGGCCAAGCAGCCACAGGGAAGGCCCAGTGCAGGGGCAGGGCTAACAGAGCCCAGTGGAGGCCCCCGTTAACAGCCAGCTTTACCCCCCAGACACATGGGAGAGCCAGCTCGAGGGTGACCCCAGAACCCAGCCATCAAGACCTGTAGCTCTCGAGCCTCCCCAGCGGTCCCCACGCCACATGAGCGGTCCCCACAGAGCCCTCCCCGAGCTGCAGACACGTGAGCAAAAACCAGATCAAAATAACAACAAAATCAAAATGACAACACCCCCCCCCACACACACACACACACACACTGTGATTATGGACTGTGTGTCCCCCGTATTTGCTCTGAGCCCTTCGCACAGATAAGCCCCTCCAGGTCACAGTGGTCAGAAGCCATGGCCCAACCCCTACCACCAGCTCCGAAATCACACAAGTCTCCTCCCCAATTTGCAGCACACCCACTCAGAAACAGGGCCGTCCCTGACAGGAGTAGGGAGGCTGGTCACAGCTGCAAACCCACACAGTGTGCTACAGAAAGTGAGGGAGTTTCGTTACCCAGAATGCCCAGAGTCCCACAAGGCTGTTAATGATATACAATGTAAGCAATGATTTAACATTCTAAAATCCCACAAATCCTGAATTCTGAAACAGATACGGCCCCCAGGGTCTCAGATAAGGGACTCAGATAAGGGACCTGTGGGGCAGACGGCTCAGGCCATGAGCCCCAGTTGTGAACAACGGAAAACAACAAGCCGGCTCGCATTCAGGGGGGCTGTGCTGGCGTTTCACGTGGCCATCTCATTACTGCTCATGTCCACCCAGGGTCAGCAAACCCGGCCTGGAGGCCACCGTGAAGCTGTCCAGCCTCCAGCCATGCTCAGCTGGGGACCAGCGGGCTGGCTGCCTGGCGAGGGCCAGATGCACGCTCCAGGCTTGGCACCGATCGTGTTTCCCAAAGCCAGCGCCCTCGCTCGCCGCTACCGACATCAGGCTCCACATTAAACACGGGATCAGAGCTGTTTGTCACAGGATTTGCAAGGCTTTTCCCCAGCAGCTGAGAGAGAGCCTGAATTTCCCCGGAACATCGAATACAGCTGTCGGGGGCACAGCTGGGCTTGGGTGGGGACAGACAGGATGCGGAGTGAGGAGTGGGCCAGACGTCCCTCTGCCAAGGAGGAGGAGGGGGACTCTCAGCGCAGATAAATTGCCCATGCTTCACAACCCTGGACTCTGAGTCTCTGGCCACTTTGCTCCCGAAACGCTGTGCCTTTGCAAAGAGCTTGGCTCTCCAGCACATGGGTCTGGCTGGAATCCCAACCCCGCTCCTTACTTTGGGATTTTGGACAAGGCACTAAAGTTTGTCGTGCCTCGGTTTCCCCACCCATGACACGGGGCTGTTAACAACCGTACGCATGTCATGGGGCTCCCATGGCACTGACACAATGAAGGACCTGAACAAGAAGGCTGACGGAGGCTTTATTCAAAGTGTCCAAAAAAGTGGAAGTAACCCCAATGTGTGTCAGCAGGGGGACGTGCAAACACACTGGGACACGCTCTCACAACAGAATTCTGTCCAGCAAAAGACAAGGGCAGACCCGCCACGCCCCGCCACACGGATGGATGTCGGACTTAGGACACGTGGAAGAAGCCGACGCAGAACAGGATGCACTGTGTGATTCCACGGATACGAAGTTCGCGGGCAGCAAAGCGACGGGCCTAGCAGTCGGGATGGTGGTAAGCTGGGGTAGGGGTGTGGACCAGGAAGGGGGACGAGGGCTCCCCGACCCACCACGGGTGCTGGCAAGTTCTGTGTGTCTCAGGGGCACACCATGCGGTGACTCACCGGGCGGCACGCTTCACACAACAGCACTTGATTATATTTAAGCTGTGCCTCAGTTAAAAAAAAAAAAAAAAATCTGGTAAATTGTAGGTACTCAAAAGTCAGCCGCTTAAAACGTGCTTGTGTGTGGTCCTCAGCACAGGGACCACCTTTCTTTTAACCAGCAAACAGACGAGTGCCTGTAAAGGTCCTGGTGGTCCTATGCCCTTACGGGTCTGTCATTTTTCTCGACTAAGTAGGGTTCTCTCTGGCTTTGATATTTCTTTCTTTTGAGGGAGAAGAGAAGCTGAGGAGTAGGAGGGTGGGAAGGGGGAACCGATGGAACCAGCTGGCGTTCCCTCGGTGAGCACTTCGGGGCTCGATTTTTCCACAACACCCTGCATTCCAGGAGGGGACCAGGGCCTCCATGGGGCCAAGCCGCCTTCCGCTGCGAGACCCGGAAACAGCAGGAAGATGCAGGGGAGTCTGTGGCTTTACTTTGTCCCAGGAGCGGGAGGGTCCTGGCTGGGCTCAGAGGGCGGTCCGAAACCTTCCCCCACTCCAGGCCCAAACACCTCCCCGCGGAGTCCTGAAACACTGCTGTGTTTATCTGGAAGGCTGGCCCAGGCGGTGCTGAGGCTGGCGGTTTGGAGTGGGCTAGGGTGTCATCTTCCGAGCACGAGGCCCGGCCCCTCTCTGCAGGTGGCCGTGGCAAGGGTAAAGCAGGGGCTGGGGACACTGGACCTGGAGCCTCTGGCCTGAGCTTACAGCAATCCCGGGAAGGGGGCAGCCACCTGGACCCGGCTGCCTGGAGCTGGCTCATCAACGTGGGGGCCCGGACAACCTGGGCTCCTCTGCTCCAGTCTGCCTGCTATAGCCCAGGCCTCTAACATGTCCGACACAACACAAACCTCCTATTCAGGGAACCCAGACCCTTCTCTGGCACTCAGCTGGTGCTAAAGACTTCAAGGGGCCCTTTCGGACCCTCTGGGACAAGGGACTCAGGCCAGGTCACCATCCCCATGACAGGGAGGGGTTTCTGGGGCAAGCTCCAGCTACACCCACAGCATTGCGCCCTATACGGAGCCTTCCTTCCGGTACTCTGAGTGTTCGTAGCCAAACCTGAAGGTTCTGGGATAGAAGGGCAGGCAGCATCCCTCCCCCGCACTCTGGACCTGACAGCCCCTGCCCCCAGTCCCTGGTGCAACACCATCCTCGATCTGGAGTCACAAACATCCTCTGTCCCTGCGCCCGGCTCCTGGCCTCCATCACGGGCTGCACTTGACTGCGCTTCATGTTATCTGCAGACTTGAAGCTGTTCTTGAAATGTGCATGTCGCGGTTTTGTGCGTGTGGATTGTAAAAAAATGTGTAAACGTTTTGATTGAAGGACAACATTCGTGCGGAGAAGCGCACCCACCCTGAGCGCATGGTACACGGGCCATGGCCAGGGAAGCAGCACCTGGGCTGAAGCACCAAGCGCCAGCAGCGGCCAAGCCGCAGGCCCCTGCGGGCACCACTCCACCTCCCCTCCAAGTGCACCGCCCTCATCACGGCCGCAGTGTCGCCTTGTCCTCCTGCTCAGTACTGGGGCTCCCCCCACCACAGCGCTCCGTGCACAGCCAGTCTGCCATCTCCCAGCCCTGCCGTCTGCTCCACGCCATGCCCTCCCACCTCCGGGATCTCACCACTCTCCCCAGCCCCCCCTCCACCACGAGCACCCCGTTTGACCTCAGCAAACGCAGGGAAACAGGCTGCTGGCTACATTCCATTCCTGCGGTGGCTGCAACACATGGTCTCACACTCAGGGACCAAGATGGCACAACTTGACGCCTCCAACCTCCTCTGGAGCGCACAGGTGCACAGCGGGCCTCAGCGGGCTCAAGTCAAGGTGGGGGCAGGGCTGCTTCGTTCTGGAGGCTCCAGGCTCCAGAACCTGCTTCTCGCCTCTTCCAGCTTCCAGAGACGCCACATCCTTCGTTCCAACTCTGCCTCTGTCACCACAGTCCTTCTCCAACTCTGACCCCTGGGTGCGTGTCTTACAGCGACCCTCGTGATGACATGGGGCCGGGGTCATCCAGGACCAAGTCCCCACCTCAGGGTCCTTCACTCAACCACATCTGAATAGTCCCTTTTGTGCAGGGTAACACATTCATAGGTTCTGGGGACTGACAGCCATGTCAGGGGAGGGGTGTGCTGAGTACAAGGATGCACAGGATTGACCCGTCCAAGCAGAAGGAACTGGCTTGAGCTCCCAAAGGTCTGTACTGGTTTATACTTTGTCCAGCAGAGCACAGAGTCCCCATCTTCCCTCCTTCCTTCCCTTCAGCGCCCCTGCCTTCCTTCAAGGAGCCCTGCTCAGCCCAAGACCTGGGAGAGCCCGGCCCCCTCATCTTGGAGGATAACTGAGACAAACTGGTCTCCAAAGGGTACATCTTGTAAAACATGAACACAGAATACCCAGTGCTGGTGAGGATGTGGTAGAAACAGCAGCCTCCTGCCCTCCCCATGAAAACAGAAAGCAAATTGGCCACCAGTCTCAAGAACCTTGACAACACTTGGACATTCTGGACCCCTAATTTGTTCTGGCAAACTCTCCCAGGGAAATAGCCCCAAATACTTCACGTGGAAAGGGCTGAATAAACAGTCACTCAGCTGAACTGAGCTGGACCTCCAGGCAGCAGGGGGCCGGCAGAGGAGGGGGCAAAGGTGAGCTTCGAGCATGACTCACACACCCTTCAGGAAAATAACCAAATGTACGCGCATCACATCGCAGGAGAGAGAGCAAGTCCGGGGCTGAGGAGGGACATTCCTTCCTGTCTGGTGGGTGGTCACCTCTCCTCCCTCTACCGGGGCCCTCCCCCCAACCCCTGCCGATCTCTCCTCTTCCCTGTGGGGAAGGGTCAGGGCCACTACTTTCCAGCAGAGCAAATCATAAACACCAGAGAGAGAGGGAGAAGGTGAGGGAGAGAAGAGCCTGAGTCACAGAGAGGGAGAGGGAGGCCAGGCAGGAGCGTGGGAACGGCGGAGACAGCTCTGTGCTGGCCGAGGGCGCTGGCTGGCGCCAGAAGTGAGGGGATCAGAGTCACCTGCGTCCCAGGATGAAGCAGTCCCGCAGACCCTGGGCCCCACAGAGTGGACCTGACCGAGGTGAACTGGCCTTCTAATTAAGAGCCATGTGGAGGGTGCCCCTCTGGCAGAGGAACTAAAGAGCACCCCCCTCCACCCCAGGGCCTGGAACTCGGACATGATGGCCACCATCCTGGTCCACAGGGGCCACGTCCCGGGAGGGCAGAGAGGTAAGCCAGAAGGGCCTGGATCCCCAAGACTGTGCGGTAGCCGTGCCCACCAGCCCCCCACAGCCCATGCCAGGACTCCTGAGACGCAGAAGAGAAATCAACGCCCATTGTCATTAGGCACTATTTTTCCAGTCTGTACCGCTCTTGGCTGACTCCACTCCCAACTGGTACCATGCCCAATAAATAACAAGAATATTACTTACTGTCATAAACGTCAGAGTTCTAATTAAAACTGTTATAATTGTATAACTGATATAACATCTTATCACTTAGACCTGGACGAGCGGGGCCCTTACCCCAGGGCCCAACCTCAGGGGGCCCCTTCCCCCAAATCTTCCAAATTCCCTCCAGCAGCTGGGACAAGCCAGGTAGGCAGTGCCATCCAAGCGGGCCACCACAAGCCAGGAGGGGGTCCATTTGAGCCTCGGACCTCATTCCCCCCTCCCTCCACCCTCCACATCGGAGGTCGGCCAGACACTCTCAGGAGCGCGGGGACTTGCCCCTGGTGGGCCATCCCAGGGTTCTACGGCCAAGCCTGCACCACTGATGTTGCCAGTACATTTCACGCAGGACGGCATGTGACTGGGCCACCAGGATGGTGTTGACAGTCTGACTTGGGGTCATTCAGATGGCTTACTAAGACCCCAGCCCTGCAGAAATATCCGCCTGGAGCCCGGCACATCCCACAAGCAGCCCTGTCGTCGTCACTATTAAATGCTAGTAATTCCTGCTAATCACAAATGGAGCGTACCAGTCTAAAACTCCACAGCAGAAAAGCTGACTCCTCTTCTGAAAAGTGAGGGACCTGGGAACCAACTTCCTACAGCCACGGGGGGCCACCCCATCTGTGTCCCAGAGGGTCCCACTCCTGAGGAAGCAGACACCCATGCGTTCCCCTCTCTGCCTCCATCATGCCCACCTTGCCACCCTACAGGCTTCTCAAAGCGAGGAGCCAGTGCTCCAGGACCTGTCTCTCTGAATCTGTCTTTACATCTCTGCTAAAATGTCTGCCCAGAGCTTCTGAACCCAGCAGACACCAAGGAAGGGCAGCAGCATCAGGAAAACCATGGGGGGGTGTGATGCACAGGGCTGTACATATTCACTCCTCAGTCACAGAGCCAGCCCGTAAGCAAGGCTGCTAACTCCCCTGGGTGACAGGTGAAGAGTCTGAGGCAGCGAGGCCAATGTCGGATGCGGGTCATCTGTAAGACATGGGGGTCACCTGTAGGATGGGGGCACCTGTAGGACAGGGGTCACTGGTAGCACTGAGGTCACCTGTAGGATGGGGGTCACCTGTAGGATGGGGGCACCTGTAGGACAGGGGTCACTGGTAGCACTGAGGTCACCTGTAGGATGGGGGTCACCTACAGGATGGGGACACCTGTAGGACAGGGGTCACTGATAGCACTAAGGTCACCTGTAGGACGGGAGTCACCCGCAGGATGGGGTCCTACTCAGCATGAGGCTGTAGTCACACCCGACACGGACAGCCAAGAGGAAGGAGGGAAGGGGACAGTGCAGGGAGCGCACAGAGCAAACACAATCGTGCTGACACCGTTACAACAGTTCAGCTCTGCAGCGAAAGGCCGATCTGGCCCCTCAAACTCACTCTGCCTCGGGTATCACCAAGGGAGGGTGTCTGCGTTCCATCCTCAGCCCCCGGCCCCCCGCCAGTCTGAGCAGCCCTCAGGGAGCCCGGGAAGTGGTACTTGAACTCCTGGGTGACTGAGCTGTGCAGCGGCTACCGGACCACAGTTGCTCTGAATTTATTCCCTTCGAGCACCCCGGCCCCCTGCCTCCTCTTGGGAGACAGCCTTTCTTCCCCTCCAGCACCCCGGCCCCCTGCCTCCTCCCGGGAGACAGCCCCGCGCTATCTCTGCAATGCAGCACAAGGCAGCCTCCATGCCTCATTCCAAATCGCAGATAAGGACCTAAGACCCGGGCCAAAGCACATCGTGGGTCAACGACGAGGCTCACTGCCCCCCGACCCCTATCTGTTGGCCCCTGGCTCCAAGCTGAACCCTGTGCCACAGGAAGCAGCCTCTGGTACATAAGCATCGGAACATGGAAGCGGACGAGAGGGAAAGGACGCCACGCTGGCGGTGCCCACGCCCGCCCGGGTGAGACCACCTGACCCCCGCAGGCCTTGCCGGCCTGGCAGCGGAGACGTGGGAGGGCGACGGCAGGGTGCCTGTCCGGGGCCCGTCCCGCAATCTGTTTCCAATTCCCTGACACAGGGGGCCATTGATCCTCCCCACTTGGCGGCCGTGCTGCGGGCTCCGCGTGCCTCAAGGATTGCACGCTGAGTGAACTCTGCCGGGCGGCAGGACAACGCGTTCCATTGTTCCCCACCCGCCTTCCCAACGCCCTGATTGGCAAGCAATGTCTCCGAGAGACGGATGGAAGGAAACGCTCCCCGGGCCGAGGCCTCCCCACCAGGCTGAAGAGCCCCTGTCACTGAAGCGGTTTTGCGGGGACTGGCGGGCTGGGCTCACTTCTGTCACTTCCTCCTCATCAGTCCCTGCTCCCCAGGAATTAACCTCAAAATGGGGGTGAGCCACGGGACCATTCACCCAGACTTCCCAGGGCAGGCCAAACTGCAAATACTCCATCTATCACCGGTAATTAATATAACTGTTACTACTGCAATTTACTGGGCATTCGCCACACGTGAAGCACAAGCACCATGTAACCGCCGGGCGCAGGGGGTATGTAAGGCACCTGCTCCGTGCCTGGCGCTGTGACGCCAGCCCTCCTTCTCCTTCAGTCCTGCAGACACAGAGGAAGGTGCTGCTGTTAGCCCCCTTTCATAGATGGGAAGACAGACAGACGGACAGAATCTGAATCCAGGCACGTCTGCTCCCAAGCCCCTGCTGCCTCTTCCTTAAAAAAACTCACAAACCCCTTCCACCCCTCAGCTCAGAGCCCTCACGTTGTGCCCCTCTCCTCGGCCTCCCCTCCTCGGGGGTCAGGCCCAGCGGTTGTCCCCGAGGTCGCACCAGCACACGACGGGCGAGCTCTGGGTCTCCCTTTGGTGGGCAGAGGGGTGTGGAACCCGAGAGGATGTGATGCGGCTGCACGCTTCGAGGCGCAGCGTCGCCGAGTGAAGGACATCACAGGCGAGACAGGCACGTGGGAGTGAGTCCCGGCACCACGCACGAATGGCCTCTTTGCACAAGGGAAGCCTCCAGAGCAGTCGGCAAAGGCCACCAGCACGGGTGTCAAGGAGGAGGCAGGACTGACCGTGACACAGGCAACAGGCAGCAAGGGACACAAGCGTCCGGGGAGGATATGCCAGAGCCAAGAGGGGAGCTAAACGGGGCGGCTAAAGACCAAAGCAGGAGGCTGGGGCATGACACGGTTTCTGGTGTCTTTGTCACCCGGTAGTCAAAGCTCTCCTGTGAAACCAGCCTGGCTGCCATTCCAGCCCCAGAAGAGGCCGGGAGGAGCTCACTGGGGAGGGATAAAACCCCTTTCAGGAGTGGTGACCGCTGGCCATCCGCTCTCCTCCCGCATCACAGTCCGTCTCCACAGGGCTACCAATCCATCCGCGTTCGTGCGTGAGGAGAAACCCATTTGCTACGTCTGCTCTGCTCGGGTGATCTGTTTTCCCCTCCTAATTCCCTCCGACGTTACTTTTGGTCATGATCTTCCATCCTCTGGGCTGCCACGCACGGCTCCGTGGCCTCCTGCACAGCCCCAAACCGGGCCGCGGGCGCTATAGTAACACTTTCCGAGGATCACGTTGTCTTCTCTGAATTACATGGTTGGAACCCTGGACGTGCCAACTGTGTCTGAGGATTTCCAGCCTTGGGCTTTTGGGCCAAAAGCTGCCTTCACTGTGAGCCACTTCCTTCCATCAGAAAGGCATGTGTAAGCCTCGCTCAAACCCAGGAACCGAGATGTAGCCGTGCGGAGGCGGGACGGCCGGCGCCAGGACAGGCTGACTCTCCCGCCAAACAGAGCTGGTGGAGGAGGGCGGTTCACCGACACCCACCCCTTGAGCTGGACCTTCCTGAGGGTTCCGCCACCAGGGTGACCCGGCGTCACCCCCCAAGCAGTGCTAACGACACGGAAGAAACCTGCCCGGGAGAGGGCCCTCCGAACCCAGGACACCTGCCTCGTCAGCATTTCTGGGGGCACCTGACAAAAACCACAAAGGAACTCCCTTAGGCTAAGAAGAATGAAAATAAAAATAAGCAAAATAGTAAAAACAAACAAGAAAGCAGAATGGTTATATGAAAAGATGGAGGGGATCCCAGTGCATCGTGCACGGTTGCCCGGACGGTACGCGGTTTAATGCTCTGCTGCTGCATCTTCAAATCCTGTTTTATCTTTGAGCGGCTCAGTCCTGCGGGGACCTCGGGGACACGGCTCAGAACCAGCCTGGGCCCACCCCCGAGCCGGGCGGAGGAGTCTGGGCTATCTATTCTCTAGTCCCATCCCTCACCCACTAAGGACCCCCAGCATCTCCGGTGTGCCCTGGCGGGCTGAGAGGGGCTGCCGGGTGGGAAATGTGGGGTCCTTGCAGACGGTCACCAGCACGCCCTGGGAAGGTGAGCATCAAGGGTATGAAGGCTGGCTGGCTACCCAGCCAGTGGGCGCTGCAGAATGAGAGTACGGATGGTGGGTGGTTCCACCCAGCGTAATTCCAGGCAAAACCGTGCCTAGCAGCATCTCACTCTCGGCAGGCCTGGTGCCGGCACCACTAAGAATCCTGAAGCTCAGGCCATGCCAACATGGCAGCACGCCTTGCGTTTATGCCACAACCCTGCTTGGAACTTAGCCGAGAAATGCAAACTCGGCCCCGGCCTCCAAAGCCCAGCTCCTGTGACCTTTGGCCCCTGACCCCAGCCCACCTCCCTCATTGCACTGCAGCTGTGCTGGCTTTTCCCCACACAGAGTCCCTTTCTCACCTTCGGGTCCTTCTAGAAGCTGTGCCCTCTGTCTGCAATGTTCATCCCTCCTTCTCCCCTTCGTGTCTGGGTCATTGTCACCCTCCAGTACAGCTCAGATGTCACAGATGTCACCTGCTCAGAGAGGTTTTCCAGGCTGTGCCAGCTCCCTTCCAGTAATTTCCAGCATGGTGCCCTGTCCTCTGGGGCCTCGTCACCTCTGATGGCGACGTTTCTTTTCCAATAGTCTATCTTCCCACTCACTTTACATTCTTCCAGACAGGCGCCTCCCCTGCTTCTCTC